CGTTCATTTCGAGGTGAATCTGAAAATCCCCTCAGTAATAGCAGAGTATAGCATCAACAAGGACATGAAGCCCCACTGGTCGATTTTGTGTAGTCATAATAACCCTTTTACCTACGTGACAAACACAATTTTCTCACCCACCAAATACACAAACTGCGAACATGTGTATCTTAAAACAAAACATGAAAGGAAATATCGAATTATTTGATTTTAAACTCGCCCACAAATTAAATACTGCCCCCATTTGTAATTTTTCAAGCATGCAAAAGAAAGCAAGTGGGTTTTGGCGCTTCTCCTTTACCAAGATAAAGGACTCCATCTATGGCTTGGGCGCATAAGTACCACTTTCCTCAGACCAATCGGATAATAAGGAATTATATAAAAACAAAATGAATCATAAAAACAATATGCAATTAAGAATATTTTAATAGCAGTGGGTCAAAATCCTTCGACTCTCTATATTTTATTTAATAAAATTCTTTAAAAATTGTGTTTAATAAATAAATTGGTATTATATTTAGTTTTCAAATTTAAAAGTCTTAGATTTATGTCTTATTTTTAAAATGATTAATTTTTAATTATTTAAAATTAATTGTCTAAAAAAATGTATATAATAAATGAGACAATTCTATTTATTATAGGTTATAGATTTCATTTATTATATGTTATAAATTAATCGATTATTTAATTGTTGGGATATATATAAGGAAGAAGCATAGGATCAGCGGGATAAGTAACAGGTGGTATATGCTTGTTGATTGACATTAGCAATCCTAAGAACGTTTTGGTCTTCGTTTTTCCGAACTGGTCGTCGCCGGTATCTTGCCGAATAGCCTCAGGCAACACTGAGTATCCTTCGTAGTGTTTGCACATGTATCGAATGATCAAAAATTATAGAAAGTTTAAATGTGTTTTAAGTGACTTTAGGTATGGAATTTTGATTTTAGTTTCTATAAAAAAAAATTCTTTATATTTTAAAATTTATAAATATTATTTTTTATTTATGTAAAATAA